GTTCACAGACCAAAAAAAAAAAAAAAAGTTAATGTGTATCAGTTCATTGCATCATGTGACAACTTGTACCTGTCACAGTAGAGCTGCATGTGTCGAGGCATCTCTCCGTGTGGAACGGCATCCGGAGCTTCCTGCAGACGCAGAGTTTGGAAATCCACACACATGCATCTATCCGGAATAATGAAATACGGATCCACAGGGCACTTGACACGGCCCGCCTGCTCACTGCGGGACAAAAACAAACATGATATTGGTATAAACACTTGCTTATTCTCTGTATCAAGACGGATGTGCTTGTATTCAAGTTCACTGTCATACCAGCATATACAGAGTTAGTGCTACACTATTTCTAAAAGGAATGAAGCCGGTTAAAACTAAACTGAGTATTTTGCAAAATACTAACGTGTTGCATTTGCGGGGCAGAGCGTAACCCTGCAGTCCCGGTGGCAGAGGAATGTTACTGATAACCGATCTGCATCCACGGCACTGAAGACACACTTTGGTGGCTTTGGCCCTCACAGCCGTAGAGGATATGATTATACCGGGAATCTTGACAAGACGAGACACCTGCTCCGACTGCAAAAATATGAGAGAGGCAGAAAAAAAAAAAAACACTTAAAAACTTAATGCTGTACCATTTTACAAACATTAAATATGTTTGTAAAATGGCATAACATATATATATATATATATGTATATATATGTCTAGTATAGTATTTTAGTCTGGCGAGTAGAGGGTTGTAGAAGTATGAACGTGGCGCTCTAAGGCACAAAAACACTTAAAGTTAGCAGTAGAGTAAGCAAATATGTCGCTATGCATCTGTTTTTATTTTGAATGGTCTTGTTAACAGTTTATTTCCTCACTTTCAGGTTACGGATGGAGGCCGGGTGGGCGTCGCTCTTCAGCATGACCTGTATGTCCTGTACAGTCTCTTCTCCTAATGGCCGCGGACGCGTGACCTCATCAGCCACTTCCTGCGCCGCCTCCTCCAACTGTCAATCAATCAATGTCAAATCTAATAAACAGTTCATGTTCAAAAGGCACTTAGCATTTCATAAATACAGCATCTTGGAAAGTCAAAAACTTGATGATAAATTAGAATAAATTAGTCTGTAATAATCTGAAAATAGAGTATTACATTAACTGTGTAAAAACGTTATATTTCTTAGTTTAAAATAAATATAACAAAAGATAATTACATAATTACCATAAGTAATTACTTATGTATGCCGTAAACAAATCCAACTCAACTTCAGTAAGACTTCCAATATTTATATGAAAAGTTATTTTTGTAAGTCTGTCCTTACCAAAGGCAAGTTCTCAGTAGGCAGTTTGTACAGACAGTCTGACAGATCTTCATCAAAACTGGCCAAATCCTCCATCTCCACCTCAATCCAGTACTCTCCCAAAGTATAGTGCCTCTTGAGTTCATCTCTGAAAACGAAAAACACAATTAACAGTGTCCTAAAGTACTAAAACAATATAAACAGATGAAGATGTCGAACTCTGTTTAATAAGGTACATTGTTCATTGTATTAGTGAAAATGGGAGTTGGGAAATCATTCGTTTAAAAATGAATCGGTTCTTTCGAACAGATTCGCATTGAACCGACTCAAAAACGATTCCCCGCTTCGCTAGTGCCATCAGTCATTTGCTTTCAGATTTTTTTTTTTTTTGTAGTTTAATATTTGCACATAACATATTTAATATGATGTACCCCAGCAAATACGTGATAAAAACCGAACATGTAATGAATCGATTCAACTGAATCACTCAAAAGAACAATGCGTTCACGAACCGGACATAAGTTAAAGGCGCATCTGCAACAAATTTAACACGGGCTAAATGAAAAACAATCTTGATCGGATATAATAATGACATAACTAAATGATAGCCAACGATTAATAGACCAACTATAGGTACACGTTGTGCAAAACGTATTCTGTCACTGTGCAAAAAGAACCACCAGAAAGCATGAAAATACATCTGATATCACAGTACCTGTATTTGTAGGTGAATCCAGTGCGATCGGTGCCGACTCTGAATTGTCTCAAAAACTCTCGAAACTTTTTTTTGATCTGGCTGCGTTTCACGACCCCCTCATCACCGATGCCTTCACCTCCTCCAAAACTGTCACTATAATAAACTCCTGGATCATCAAATCCCGACATGCTGTTAATATTCAGATTCCTTGCAATAAACGGTCAATAAGGTATCACTTAAATAAGTGCTGTCAATGCTCAATTTTAATACTGCTATAACGTTCTGTAGGTCAGAGGCAAGTGAGCTCCCCGCTGCAACACGCGCACTGGCTTTCGCGGCAAAACCTCTAGTCCAGCCTCGCGCTGAATTCAGACCCCACCCTCACTGACTTTTCCGTCCCGCTTATTGGTCCACAAGGCGTCATGACGAGATACGTCACGAAAAAGGTGGAACCAAAGTGGAGTACTGGCGGGAAAAATACAAATCAGAGTGCAGGGACCGGAACTGGCTGTTCTGATTGGCGCGGAATTTCAGCATTGTTGAAAGGAGATCTTAAGGCTTACAGTTCTATCAACAAAACCTTATTTATACGAAAATAAAATAGAAAATAGTAATCAAACTGTAAGGTTTTAAGAGAAAAGTCCAATTACACAAATGTCTAGAGCGAGTTTTAGTGTAGAGAATAAATTTCACAATTTTCCAATGTTCTCATATAATTGTTACAGCAGTTTGGTAAACAAGTGAACTCAAAACCAAGCTGACATGTAGAATACAAAAGTTAGATATGAAATAAAAAATAGATTTTAGCTTAAAACTCGAACTGTGTTGTCAGGACAAAAGTTTTACATATAAATGTCAGGTTTTAAATGTTATATTAATGGGCCAAAACAATGGTTTGACATGTATATTACCTTTTACATTTTAATGATTACAAGAAATAGTTTAGTGTTTTTTAATTGCTTTACTATTCATGTAAATAATAGTAATATTCATGTACATTACTATAATAGGCTGTGTCATAATGACAGGTTTCCATTGTGACAACATGCCCCACTGTTGGCATATTGTTTGAGAAATTGTTGCATGGACATTGCACTGTACAAATGGGCTTTTCGTTTATTCAATATTAAGATTTGGGTCTGATTTTATACAGCTGTGTAAGTGACAGTATATCTCAGGTCTTGTATTTGTTTTGAAAGTAGTGAATTTAAGTAGTCAACTACCTTCATGTAAATAATCAGAGAAGACATTAAATGGCATAACCTTTTTATTTTTACCCATCTATGGACAGTTGCAGCATCAGCATGATCTGTATAAACTTGCAAATAATGCTGATGAGACAAGTCTTAACTGAAAAATGTCAAGACACATTTGGTATATAGCTGGTGTAGAAGACTGCCCTAAAAGAAGCAACTATTAATCTTAAAGAAAGTCATTTATAAAATATACAAATATCCTTTGACCTTCACTGATCTCAGAAGCATTTTTGCTATGATATGTAACTTAAACCTCACTCTAACAGTCCACAACTTTGTCAGTTGTGTTTCGGACATTAGGAAATGACACCATGCTTCCTGCCGGTCTGTATGAAGGCATCTACAGTACGATCAATGTCCTCATCAGTGTGAGCTGCAGAGATCTGGACTCGAATGCGGGCTTTTCCTTTGGGAACGACTGGGTAGGAGAAACCAATCACATACACTCCTGATGACAGAGAGAAAAACATTGTTTTAAACAGGCTGCTGGGCTTGCATCATTTATTTTGTAGCAAAACGTTTAGATGGACTATTATACATAGTCTGAATTCTAACCCAGTTTTAGCATATCATCAGCCATAAGTGAAGCCAGGCGAGCGTCTCCTAGCATCACAGGACAGATGGGATGAGCTGTGCCAGAAATGGTGAACCCTGCCTGTGTCATGTTGTTTCTGAACCTTTGGGAAAGAAGAAAAGGCGCACAATAGACCATTGTTCTCATTAGCTCAATGAACTCCAAAAATCCTTTATTCTTAAAAGCATTCCTACTTTCATACTGAACCAGCAAAAGTCAGCTCTTTTTGTTTCGACTGCAATGTCATCCCAGATAGACTGCTGCTTTGAAAAGCAGACTCTGTTCGTTTTAACTCTGCTGCTTATCTTCGGTCCACAAAAAGAGAGCAGTAACACAAGCTAAAGGGTGTAACTGAATCTATAAATATCACAGAGCGCCCACTCCCCCCTCCGATCTCACCTCATGGTTTTAGCTGCCATGGACTGAGCGATTTCATTGGATGCCAGCAGCAGTTCCACAGCACGGGTGGCACAGCCCACCACAGGAGGAGGGAGGGAGTTTGAGAAGAGGTACGGACGAGACCGCTGTCTCAGAAGCTCAATCAAAGCCTTGGGTCCGACAGTGTAACCACCTGACAAAGAATTAGAAAAATATACATTTGAAAGGGCTAAAATTGCTCCAGTCTTATTAGCAAAGGAACTTTGCGATTTTATTTGTTATTTTGCCTGACATAGCAGCTTGACTATGTAAAACTGTGCTTCAGATGATGTCTGATATCTATACGCACCAGCAGCTCCTCCCAGTGCTTTTCCCAAAGTGGAATTCACAATGTGCACCCTGTCCATCACTCCCAGCAGCTCATCGGTTCCTCTGCGGGAAATAAATGCATGAACATCTACGTGCAATGTAATATAATATGACATAATACTTTCTTACACAGTTTAAATAAGTCTTTATACATGAAAATATAAAACTCTCTTTATATTTTAGCTAAGATGTGGATCTCTCTGAAGCGATTTTCTCATTAGGGGGTCCTTGGTTCGAGTCCCGGCTCGTGGACCTTTCCCGATCCCGTCCCCCTTCTCTCTCTCTCTCCCACTTCGCTTCCTGTGAACTAACTGTCCTATCATTATAAAGGCAAAAAAACGCCCAAAAATAAATCTTAAAAAAAAAAGGTATTAATTAAGGACCGATAAAGCCATGAATCAAACCAACCAGCTACAAGGTGAATCACAACATCAAAAAGCTTGAGTTTAACCAAAAATAAAGCAAAGTGTATTTAACGACTTTAAATGACAGAACTACAATCTCATAATGCATTGCAAACGACAACTGAAATAAAAACGATTCATAAATGTTGATTTAAAGCTGTTAATTACACATATAGAAACAATGCATTTTTTGTTTATTGCAAAATATTCATACATGTTCAAATATTTAAATAAAGTGTGAAGGGAGATTCACTATCATGTCATTTGCAATGCTTAATTGTCGCTACAGAGCTCTTTGCACAATTTGCTTGTTTTGATTTTCTTATTGTTGGGGCTTTCTCTGCAGAATTACGGGTAATGTAGTTTTTCTCCAAAAATTTCACAGTTAAACATGATTATTTAAATATTAAGTTTAAATAATGTGGGCCGATGGCTTCCAAAAAAAATAAAAATAAATAATAATAATAATAATAATAATAATTAAGTGCAGCAGAAATTTTTTTGTAACCTTGGCCAGATCTGTGTCTTGCCACAATTCTGTCTCTGAGCTCTTCAGGCAGTTCCTTTGACCTCATGATTCTCATTTGCTCTGACATGGACTGTGAGCTGTAAGGTCTTATATAGATAGGTGTGTGGCTTTCCTAATCAAGTCCAATCGGTATAATCAAACACAGCTGGACTCAGATGAAGGTGTAGAACCATCTCAAGGATGATCAGAAGAAATGGACAGCACGTGAGTTAAATATATGAGTGTCACAGCAAAGGGTCTGACTACTTAGGACCATGTGATATTTCAGTTTTTTTTTTTTAATAAATCTGCAAAAATGTCAACAATTCTGTGTTTTTCTGTCAATATGGGGTGCTGTGTGTACATTAATGAGGAAAAAAAATTAACTTAAATGATTTTAGCAAATGGCTGCAATATAACAAAGAGTGAAAAATTTAAGGGGGTCTGAATACTTTCCGTACCCACTGTATATATATATATATATGTATATATATATACATACACACATACACAATCGATTAACCTTGTAGCTCACACTGGATCGGTCTTTAACAGTTTTTAAGTTATCATTAAAAATCAAACCCCCTGAATGAGAAAATAAATGGGATTTTTACTAACGGAACCTGACTTTTGCACTCTATTTTGCTAAAAAGTGTTTTTTCTGTCTACTCACCGGCCACGGGGACCCATGAATCCTGTGGCATGACATTCATCAATGAAGACCAAGGCACTGTACTGCTCAGCTAGATCACAAATACCCTGCAGAGGAGCCACATCACCATCCATGGAGAACACGCCGTCTGTGACCACCAGCCTCAGACGAGAGGACTGTAAATAAATAAATAAATAAATAAATAAAGTGAATCAACCAAGAAATAATTTTTTTTAAATGCTTTGAATTGCTGAAGTTTAGACATTTGTAATAGCTAACTTAAAACAGATGTTTTTTAGCAGGTACGAGCTGTAATGGCGCAGCTCTATTCTGGAAAATGAGGCAAGGAGCAGCAGCTCATTTGCATTTAAAAAGCCAGGCCCGAAAAACAGCGTGTTTCTGCTTCCACTCAAAATAGGCATTATCAAAATGATATAATAAATGATCTAGAGCCCGACCGATATATCGTTTAGCCGATATTAGCCTGTCGCCGATATATCGGTATCGGCGAATATGCCGCCAATACGCAGCCGATATGAAAATGTTTTTTACAGAGCATATAACGCAGATAAAATGCTTGAAATGGTGTAATTACTTAGTTTGTCCAGCAGAGCGCGCTCCATTGTTTGCTACTGGCGACCTGGATGAAACGCTTTAAAGCTTAAGTCTATGGAAAACCATTGAACTTTGAATGGCCATATCTGCGTAATCGCAAATCGAGTGTACGTCTCGAGGCCCTCTTTCGAATGAGACCACCCCCGCGTCGATAGCCCCCGGGGTTTGGGAGCTACCCGCGGTTAAATTCGCGGTCCGGCGCCGACCGATCTAGCGATCCCGGGGGGCTACCGACGCGCGGAGGGTGGCATTCGAGAGGGCTCCTCGAGCTGAAGGGATCCCCCGAATTTGGTGGAGATCCGCCGGCACGTTCGTGAAATAGTGACACCAGCCAACACTTTCACTTCAGTAAGGAGGTCTCTTGTTCAGGCAGCAGCATTCAAGCGTTGTCTTATTCGACCGTTGCCTTGTCCAAACACCCACACTTGCGGTCTTGTCCACTTGAGAGCATGTGCGCGTGACAGGAAGTAAGTGCGCAAGACTGTCCCAGGTCCATAGACTGTATGCCCAGGTCTTAAAAACGGCAAAGCGCAGTGCCCTATACAATAAATATACAATACATTTTATATTAATATTGTTAGTATACATATAACGTTAGTAAATATAATTGTTTTTGTCTGCACTACTCATTTCAAGCATCAAAACATAAACCTTTAGAAGAGTTATAATAATAATATAAAATCTTGATAATCATAAATTCAGTCAGTTTATTTTTTGTTATAAAATAGAATAGGGCATTTACATAAATGTGAAAAGCTTAAATCTTAAAATAACAATAAATTCAGTAAGCAATAAAAAAAACCTAGTAAATATGTTTGTCTGCACTACTCATTTCAAGTATCTAAACATAAACCTTTAGAAACGTTTTTAAATAATATGAAGCATAAATTCAGCCAACCCTTCACTTTTATTTTTAAAACTAAGATATAATCTTATATAAATACATTTTATAAAATAATTGTATGTAAATATATTTTATTAAATAAAATAGGACATTTGCGTAAATGTGACAAGCTTTAAAATTCTGAAAACTACTTTTCATTAATATTTTATTACTGATTATTTAACATTTTAGCCTCCCTATTAACCAGTTTATATTACGTGTTTGTTACGTTTTTGTTTTATACATTCCCATGCAGCTACAAATAAAAGTTTAATTTTATGGGGGAAAGCAGGGGCAAGTTCAAGCTCAAACCGGTGTGCACCGTTTTGCTACGGTTTCCGGTTTGAACGACATGTTTCCTGGAAACGGTGTGCAATGGGGTTTGAGATACGTTTTCTCTTGTTTGGTGGGTGTGTCAAACATGTCAGCCCAATCAGCAGCAACATGTATGTAAACCACGCGGTATTAAAGAGACAGCTAGCACAATGTAATTAACATCTAAATAAATTCACAAGAGCAAGTATATTGTTTACACATCTTTATTTACATTAAGTAACATAAAAATACTGTACATATTTATATATTTTGCTATTGTATTGTGGAGTGACACGTTAATAAACTTTTCTATACTCTGATTATATAATGGTAAATATTACAATAACATAGCACAGCAACAGTGATCAGCAATAATGATAAGCCTAATACTCACAATAAAAAATAATAAGGCCATATAGATCATAACACAGTCTTGGAGGTAAGAAGTGGATTATCCTTCATCACCTGAAATGTTTGTCTTTTCATCCTGAAATGCAATGCAAATGGATCACAATAATTAGGAACCAGTTTCCACAAATCCCTTCATTTGATTAGGATGTTCTCTTTTATTCTGGACGGCAAGGGCAATGACTGTACCATCGAGCGTATTTTGCAGTATTAAACACGTATTTATACCGATTTCATCAGGCTCCGAAAATTCTTCAAAAAGAACACAAAGAATGTCCTTCTCAGCTGCCATAGTTGCAACTCTTGCGTCATCAGAACAGGGTGTTCAATGCACCACCGTTTCCGTTTAAAAAACGTTTTGCACCGTTTTTGTCGGGGCTGAACGCAGCACAGGTGTTGTCATAATTAGTTTCTTATGCAGCAAAGTTGAAACTGAAATTGCAGCATGCTATTGACTTTATTTCCCTAGGCTAGGTGCCTCCAGGAATTGTACAACCTAATCATACCATTTTGTTGTATATAGTGTTTTAACTGACTCTGGCTAGGCTGTCCTCCACACACTGTGCTGCTCACCGCCTCTGCTGCCGTCCACGTTGATATGAGGTCCCTGCTTGGACGTAATGACTCGCTCCCCCTTCCATGTGCCCGCTGCCCGGATAGTGTCCAGCTCGTTTTCCAGCACCGACAGCGCTTGAGCCACGGCCGCGTACGGTCTTCTAGCATTAGCAGCGCAGGGCTGTAAAACACTCCTGAAGGGAGCACCGAAAAGACGAACAGCTGTGCGAAGTGACATTTCTCCAGCACTGTCACAGTTAGCAGTACAGTCGAAGTATGTGCACTAGAAGAGCGAGAGCGACTTCGACGGCGGATATGTCATTTACATGGGCGTCGACAAATCAGCCAATCAAACGTGTTTACATAAGCAGGCGGTTCACTCTTTGTCCAATGGTAGCGCAGCTGAGGTGTCTGCGTTTTAAAGAAACAGGATGCTAAATATGTAAGACTGATAGCTTGTGTAACTCTTCAGACACGCTGTATGTATATATATATACATACAGTCATAGATATTCTCAGCTTGCAAAAATAAAATGTTATTGTCAGCAACTAATACTGCAAGCTCTGTTGTGCATCCGATGGTTGAAAAAGTTCATTAAAATGAATGGGCAAAATGTAGAACCAGATAAAATGACCGCACTGTAAGACAGAACCAGTTCGCGGGAAACAGGCGGACTTCCCGTTTGACCAGTATGTGCAACATGTGCAACTAGAGCTGGTGGGTCCACGATTCAAAGAGAAAGTGCAAGAGCACGTCATTTTCGCGGGAACATCTCCCGGCAACTGGCAATGTAACAACAGCTTTCTGCAGAGGAAAATCTTTTTTTAAGTCGTATTATGAAAATGTTGGTAAAAACATGGCAACGTACGTTTTTAACTTTTTTAGCACTATACTGGACCTCCTTAAGTTAGGCGATGGCTTGCAGTGGAGTAAAAGAGGAAAACTTTAAAACGTAAGTAGCTTTTACGAAACTATAGCGTTTTCCTCAATTCTTATCTTTATAACAAAAAAGAATGTACTTAGTCCTTATGAACACATTTCAGTTGAGCAGTTCGGGTTATTTATAGTATTTTATTGGTTATGATCCAAGTTTAGATTATTAAACTGAATACAAATATTAAATTTGTTATGTGCATCACGTATAATATCTCTTAATCCGTCACATTTGAAAAATTAACGTTGGTAAATAATGATAGCCTATAAAGTACAATGGTATATTGTTAATATCTCGGAAATTCAGCCAGCGCAAATGTTCGTTTTGCAGTGTAAATCCGCTCAAGCTACTCGAGAATTAATTTTGTTTCACGATTTCATTATATGAGGCGCTCTTCACAATTGTAGAGAGCGATGTAGTCAAGTATCGATCTAGTACAGACTCCTCGTGTCGTCACAGAAACGTCAGAGGGGGCGTTCCCTAACCGCGGGAAATCCGAATCCATTCGTGTTACGTTCTTAGACGAAAACTAAACACCGAATTTTAAACAACAGATACGAATTGAAGTCAATATGGAATTCAGCAATACAGGTCAGAATTGTTCTGTTTTAGCCATATATGTATTGTCAAAATATGTCTTGCTCACACGGACTGTATGTTTTCTTCTTCCTGTACTTCTTCCTGTGTTTATAACAAGGTGGACGACATTATTAATCGTAACTTATAATAATCGCCATTTCAAGCGAATTTTTTGCAATACAAAATGTTTAAACGGATAAACAATGGCATTAAAGCATCATTAGACACTGGCAAAGAAACTTTTCAGCACTCGATATGACAATAAAAGACGTTTTGACGACTGGAAGCGGGTATAGCCCTTTTTATACAGTCTATGGTATAGCCATGTAAAATGGCAAACCAAGATCATATTTATATTTGATTACACAAATGTTTCGCTTTCTAGGAATTATCCTAATTGAAGTATTTCTCACCACAGATACAATAATTGGATTTTTATGGAACAGTCTGGAGATTCCTGTGCTGCTGTGGACATGATAACTCTGGTGTGTACCAATATTATTCTTTAAGAAATTAAAAAAAATAAAAGTTTAAACACATTGAAAGCAATCTGACTAAAGGCAATGTGATTATGTAATGCGTTAACAGACGTTCAGTTCTCAGTTGAAGAAACAGCGCCATCTCTTGGTGTCAGCACTGTACGACCATGGCATTATGGTGGTGGTGGAGGTATTATCAGGACAGTTTAGGTGAGACACGTGACAGTCTTTCAGTCACTAACTGCACGGGCTTTGATCAAAATGAAATTATTTGCATCTGAATTTATTACATTTAAATGATTGATGACGTCGCGTTGAAGTGTTAAATTGTACATTTCTAATGGCCTTTCCGTTCTTTTTCCATACAGAACACTTGAATCAAGATTAAGAAACGACTTTAAGTTTAGCACTTATAAGATGGAGGATTGGCCCCCTTGAAATCATTGTTGCCCCAGCCACATCTGTTGCAAATTCCCGAGAGGAGCCGATGTCTAGGTGGGACAGAGTTACTGGCGCTCTCGCCCCATGAAGCGAAGAATTATGAAGTATGAAGAAGGAGTTCTGGAACTACGTTGGGTTTGGTTTGGTCCATGCAAAGCAGCATTAGAGCATAATCTTGTCTATTTGATGGTAATAGGGAGCCGTGCCACGTGTTGTCACTAAGATTTAATTTGACCAACAATGTTGAGATTTCTGATGTCAAATTAATTCAATCACTAATTTATTCCTGCTTCATCGTAAGCAAGAATATCAGAGCTGGTATACAGCACACAATTTTATACCAAAGTTCAACGAGAATATTTAAGGCCAGTTAGTAAGTATATTTCTTCTCTTTCAAAGAAAATAGTCCCAAAAGAAGCCAAAGCATCAAGCTATCAAATTATGCACAGACTGGATGTAAATAAATACATTATTGGAGTATTGTCTTACTTCATCAAAGCATAATATCTTACTTTTTGCGCCACTGCATTTTATAAATATCGTTCCTCACTCATCGTTCATTTGAAAACATGATAGTGGTGTCTGATAGAATCATTCTTTACCATAGAGTGGGTATAGAAAAGAATCACCCCCCTTTAAAATAAATCACATTTTGTTGCTTTGCAGCCTGAAATGAAGACGGACACAGTTTTTTTATCCAGCTGTATTTGCTCAGTGCAACTTTATAATACCTAAGTGAAAAATATATCACCAACACGCCAGAAAATAAAAATAAAACAGAATAGTGGAGTTGCACACCTGTTGGTGATTATTATCAGACTGCACATAACTGTGTGAGATTGTTACTCTTGATATCTGATGAAGGCCTTGGACGGCCGAAACGTCATGTTGGTTTATTAATAAAGCTTGAACTTTGAAGAGTGAGTGTTTGCACCTTTGTTCAGCTCATATGTAATAGATAATTAAAAGCAATGTTAAAATAATGTACATCGAAGATTAATGCGTCTTCCCCGTTACCCTAGCAGTTTGAAATGATATAATAAATATATAATTACAGGGTTCGTACAAGGTGCTTGAAGTACTTGAATTGGACGTTTTGAAATGGAAGTCCTGGAAAACCCTTGAAAACAGCCATATTTTTGAAAAGGTACTTGAAAAGTACTTGAATATTTAAAAGGCAGTATATGTGAAATTAGTGTTATTTTTAAAATTTGTCTCGCAAAATTAACAATGCAGCGCGTCTGATATAAATACAGAGCCGTTTCGTCTGCTCAATTTCAGTTCAATTTGATGGTGAGTGTTTGTGGACTGCAGTCTTCAAGTCATTCCACAGATTTTCAGTGGGGTTTAAGTCTGGGCTCTGACTAGGCCATGCAAGATCATTCACCTTTTTCTCCTTCAACCACTGTGTGCTCAGTTTTGCTGTGTGCTTTGGCTCTTTGTCATGTTGAAAGGTAAACCCCAATCTCCCCAATCCTATTAGGAAACTACTTCTCAATCAGTACAATTAGTGGAGTTGCACACCTGTTGGTGATTATTATCAGACTGCACATAACTGTGTGAGATTGTTACTCTTGATATCTGATGAAGGCCTTGGACGGCCGAAACGTCATGTTGGTTTATTAATAAAGCTTGAACTTTGAAGAGTGAGTGTTTGCACCTTTGTTCAGCTCATATGTAATAGATAATTAAAAGCAATGTTAAAATAATGTACATCGAAGATTAATGCGTCTTCCCCGTTACCCTAGCAGTTTGAAATGATATAATAAATATATAATTACAGGGTTCGTACAAGGTGCTTGAAGTACTTGAATTGGACGTTTTGAAATTGAAGTCCTGGAAAACCCTTGAAAACAGCCATATTTTTGAAAAGGTACTTGAAAAGCACTTGAATATTTAAAAGGCAGTATATGTGAAATTAGTGTTATTTTTAAAATTTGTCTCGCAAAGTTAACAATGCAGCGCGTCTGATATAAATACAGAGCCGTTTCGTCTGGCTTTTAGCAGCGCACGAGATCTCGCGATATTACTCATTGAGGTGAAAAGCGGTCTCGCGATATCAGTATAAAGTTGACTTTGTGGTAAAACCTTTGATGGTGCTTGCATTATATTGCTCGGTCTTTTATTGCATGTGCTGTTTGTTTGGGTTTTCAATCACGTGCATTTGGGAAAGCATGTAAAGTCTGACGCGCTTTGTGTTGCGCTGTTATCATTTACAAGCGTCCTTTCAAATGTTAAAGTTGCCATTGCATGCTTTGCATGTGCAGCACTTTATTTGTAACATTTTGTTTTAGAAGTTTATTTATTCGAATTTGAAAGATAACAATGATATTGTGATCTCTGAATTTTAGTCCTTGAAAACCAAAAAAGTAGTGCTTAAAGTCCTTGAAAGTCCTGGAATTTCATTTTGCAGTTTCTGTACGAACCATGTAATTAAAAAAATACTATGTCTGCTTCGAGTTGTTAAATCATTCATGATTTACCCTATGTGAGATCATTCTGCTAAAAAACCTGTTAAATCAACCTAAAATGATTTGCTGGTCTTAGCTGGTTTAAGATGTCCAGTTGATCTCTCAGTTGAAGAGTGCTCAACACCCCCTCTAAAACAGACCAACCCAAACAGGCTAGGAGGAGACCTTCGTTTTTGTATTGCACGTTTGTTATGTTGTATTTTTATGTTGCCAATTTTGTCACCATACATTATTAATACTGTTTTACATATTTTGGTTTATGCACACATTTGACTTAACTTGATATTAAAAGTTTAAACATTTGATAGTGCATGATAATTATTTTTAATAAAA